TGAAATACGTCATCACTGTCCCTGTCTATAATGGAATGTTTGCAAGTGACGCAGTGCTATTCTCTCGATCTTGATTGGTTAGTGAAACGTGACGTTTTTGTTTACAACCCCGTCAAGTATTAATTCTCTCAAGTGACACATTCTACATTTTTTCACAGTGATTCTTTCACAAAGATTTTAATTCTTTCACTGTATATTTCTCATTTAACACAGAGATCGGATTAACACGGACACGAAGTCATGAAGAACAAACAAACTAATTATGCATCCAAGTTGCCACGTACGCGAAACGAAAATATATCACAGTTACAATGAATTACATAAAAAATATTAAATATAAGTTAATTAAAAGACGTAGATGAGAATGAGAAAGAATTATAATTTAACTATTTCGGAGTCCGATACGGCGTTGTATTTAATTAACTTAATTTTTTTTAGAATTCTAACTCATGTGGAGAAACTTAGCTCGACTTTGACAAGCCATCTTGTTTATAAACTATCAGCTGGCTCTAAGGTCAAAGATCATGTGTATGTGTATCTGTGACCGTCTTCTTCTCGAGTTGCAAGGACCAAATTTTAACTACAATTGAATTAAGTCTAAGATACTCTCCAAGCAAAGAATGAAACAAGCTTAGATGAAGATTTCATAGCATTCTCGTTTTTGAGGGAATTTTTTCCTAATACAGTAAAAATTATTATAATTATATTCCAATTATTTATTATTTAACTGTGTCTGACTTTCAAATAGAGCTTCGCAACTTAAATAATTATTGCTATAAATGATCTTCCAGTCGAATATAAGAGGTCTGCCAAAAACCAAAAAAATTTTTTTTTTATTATTAGCTATGAGCTGCACAATCAGTCTTCCCGTTGAGCAGACCTAGTGTGTTCTCCAGAACTGGTATCCACTCTTTCAGGACAACCATCATGAGTGAGATACCGTTGGCCATGTTAATTTGGACGTCTAGTTTCTGCCACACTAGATGGCAGCACTGAGACTCTATTTGGATGCTGAAGTACACTAGGAATTTAATTTTGCCGGAAATGCCAAGAGCCAATAAGGCACTCCAGGGATCTTTNATAAGGCACTCCGGGGATCTTTCACATGCCGCTTACGATTTGGCCGCTGAGGATTTTCTGCATCCCGAAAATCCGATGTCTGGGCCGGGGATCGAGCCCGCAGACTTGGGCTCAGAAGGCCGACTAAAAAAAATAGAATTAAGTATTTATTTAATTATATTGGAATTTGATAAATTTATTTGATACTTTTTCAAAATATGTTGTTGTTGTTGTAGTTCATTTACGTCGCACTAGAGCTGCACAATGGGCTATTGGCGACGGTCTGGGAAACATCCCTGAGGATGATCCGGAGACATGCCATCACAATTTTGATCCTCTGCAGAGGGGATGAAACCCCTGCTTCGGTAGCCCGACTACCTGCGCGCGAAGTCGAGCCCTTTACGGTAGAACAGTTTGTCGAGGACCAATACCGCACACCCTTGGTCCCTACGCAGACTGATCCAAGTGGTCACCCACCCGCACACTGACCACAGCCAGTGATGCTTGACTTCCGTGATTTGCTGGGAACCGTGTCTTAACGAACAGTCCACTGCGGGACTTTTCAAAATATCAATGAGTGAGAAAGAAGAGCGAAAAAGCAATAAAAACAAACGTGAACGGGATGAAATGGCGAGACCGAAACGCCCTGCTTCGGGGTTTTTTTGGAATAATTTTTCAATGAGAATCGTTCATTTAGCCAGGGCGAAGCGAATTTCATCTAACAGATACTGTATCCTACTCATCTCCTGTAGTTCATTGCACAGACAAAGAACATTCATCATCACTCCACCGCTTGCATTTGCGAGTCAAATCTTTACATGTTTTCATCTTACATCTTAACATGTTTTCTTCACCTTGTTTTTCAACTCCCCTAAGACTCGCCCCCTCTATTAAACATTTTGTTTAATAGTGCCATGTAAAATTAATTTTCTTGTGTGTGTTTCTTTTAATAGTGTCTTATACTAGAATTTTTTAAAATTATAATTATGAAAAAGTACACCAGTAAGCTTACCGGCTAGTGTTGATAAACACAGCATTCGATTTCATAAGAGCGAAAGCTTTCGATCCAATGAGTCCCTTGTTTTCTTTTGTCAGGTTGCAGTTCACTATCACAAAATTTTTATAGTTATAAAAATACCTAAAATCTCACTGTTGGCAGTCTTATAAATATAATATCTAAAATTGTTAATTTTATTGGATAAAATATATCGTTTAATCTGTTCTTCCTGCCCACTTTATAAATTTTAATCTATAACAGTCGAATTATTGGATCCTAGTGGTAACAAACTAGTGACTAAAGCAATATGACGTTTTCTTCTTTTCGCAAATAACTTTAATTTTGATAACATCTAGATAGTAAGTATCAGATTTTTATAAATGTATTAAGTTTCCGAACTTTTCTGGTGATCAAGAAATTTAGTGATCCATTTTTAAAAGTAAAGTGATTTTTAAAATAATTTTTCAGTTTTAAAAACGTCCCCGCGGTCCCAGAAAAACTTTAGTAGTGGTAGTAAATTTAGGTTAATGTAAGAATATATTTCTTATTTTAGCACACAATTTTACAGTCAAGTGAATTAGTCAGATGGAATTTTCATACATAGATACTTTTTTAGGAAAACAATTTTTGTGGTGGTTTCGCAGAAATTAAAATATCGTCACTTGTTTTATTTTCGATAACATCCAGATGACATGTTTCAGATTTTTATCCGCGCAATCTGCTTCTAACCTTTTCCGGCAATCAAGGAAATTTAATGATTCATTTTAAAAAGCAAGAGATATAATTTATATTATAAATTTTGTTATAACTTGAATATTTCTGGCTGCCCATCCAATTTTCCGCTAATCGATCACTTATTTTTTTTTGAAAATTACTGCAAAAGTTGCGCGCTCATGCAATGTGTTAAGCCAACGCCTCCTATAACTGAAAGCCTCCATACGGTTTTTTTTTATAGATAGTCCGATCAGACCATTGTGAAGGATATCCACTTTCCGAACGAGTCACTTAATACAAAATCTAGTTCAAATAAGAAAGTCGTAGCAAATATGTGACTAAAAATTTGTTTTATTTATGAATATTATTGGTTTGCCTTATTCACTTGTCAACCACTACAGATTCAATTCTCAAATATATATGATGAATTTCTCTCAATTACTTTTATAAAAGGTTTCGGGTTCATGAGCACTACAGGTTCACATTTCAAATAGTCTGCGCGGACTACTTGTAAAAGACCGTGTGGAGGCTATTTGATGTAGGAAGAGATGGTTAAGTCCAACGCCTCCTATAACTGAAAGCCTCCACACGGTATTTTGTAGGTAGTTCGATCAGACCACTATGATGGTAAACTAGTTCACGAAAGAGCCATTTAATAGAGAATCTAGTAAACATAAGAAAGTGGTAGCAAATATATGTCTAAAAATTTATTTAATTTATGAATATAATTGGTTTGTCTTATTTACTACAGATACAGAGATGCCAACTTGCTCCGGACAGCGATTAAATATTTTAAAGTGGTAGTTTATCAATTGTGATTCTTGGTTTAATAAATTCAATTTAGTAGATTTTTATCCACCACTATTTCTAAACAATTCGTAGGGTTATACAATTCTCCACTTTCTAATAATTATGTCATGCTATACTTTTTAAAAGCAAACAAAAGTAGTCAAGTATTTGCAAAATTTAGTTAGTACTTATTTACCGTCTTTTTAATTATTTTGGCGTGTCTGGAGCAGTTGGCATCTCTGCAGATTCAATTCTCAAATATATATGACAAATTTCTCTCAACTAAAACTTGAATTTACGTTCTTGCGCAAAACTGGTTTAATTTTTAAATAGTCTGCTCAGAATACTTATAAGAAACCGTGTGGAGGCTTTCTGATGTAGGAAATGATGGTTAAGCGATTCAAAAAATTCGAAATCTTTTTCTTCTTACTCTATTGCAAAACATGAAAAGAAATTAAATTAAGAAAATATTTTATTGAAGCATTGATAATTAAAATACAGGAGTTAAAGGTGGTCGACCTTCTAAAACTTCAATGATGTTTTCAGCTGTTATAGTGCTATTTCTCATCAGAGCTAATTCTTCAGAAGCAGCTATGTGGGGTGTCACCACTAAAATAAATAGAATTAGTGTTATTTCTTCTATTTTAAAAATTAAAGATAATTTTTTTTAATTTCCAATGGCAGGGAAAGTTACAGAGAAAGAATAACATGAAAAAATGAACAGCAGGAAACCGATCATGGTTTATCAGAGTCGCAATGCAGTGTTGTATACAGCGTGCAAAATTAAAAACGGTTCACCATGAATAGCTAAATGTTTGAGCCGCTAACTTTAATTATGTAAATTAATTAGCTTAAACGATATTTTAAGTTATTCAAGCACAAAAACGTACTTTCTCGGAATAAACGTACGTTTTTTTGATGGATTTGGATTCCCGATCCTCAAAAATATAGGGGGTAATCGCAAATCTAGGAAATAAGGTCTCAATAGGGCGATTCAAAGTTAGATCAGGAGGGCGATTTAAAGTTTGGACCCCTTATTGTTAATTTTACTTTTTTGCATATTTCCCTACATCTCGAGAGATTTTTAAGCGAATTAAAAACTTTTTGCTCACAATTATAAACTTCGTTTATCTAAAGACAGTTCCATGCAAAATGTACCTCTTAGTGAGTATTTATTATTATTTTATATAATAATAGTCGAAACATTTTTGAATTTTAACGTATGCAATTTCGTGCATAGTTTTGAGGAAGATAATTTTAAAAGACAAAATACAAATTTTGAGCGAAATTGGTCGAATAGTTTCGGAGAAATAAAATTTTAAAAATATGACTTTATTTTGCGCACTATACTCTAGGAAGTTCTGGTAAATCTCACCTCATAAAGGTGAAACAATAGGGAAATAACTTAAATTTTAATTTTTGTGGTGGTAATTTTTCGACAAATTTGCTTAGCTAAAATTTTTCACCTGTAGTTAATATATAAAAAAAATACCTATGAAAAAAAATGGTTGTTCTTACTCTGTTGCTTATCACTTAATCTTTCAAAGCAGATTGTACTTCAATTTAAGACGCATAATCAAGTAATATTTTAATTATTAATACATTAAGGTAGACTATTTATGTTTCTGAAAAATAAACCCGAGTAAAGAACACATTTGTGCTATCAATTTTCTTCGTAGTTTTGAAAACAATATTCTTCCAAGAGGTGGCATGAGTTATGTATTAATCTCTTAAAATAATTTTAAAAGATATAACAGGAAAATTCTTAAATAATGAAAGAAAAAGACAGTAAAAGATAAATTTCGAAAATAATAACCAATACCTAAATTTGGTAAAGAGAGGAGGACGTGGTCAGGGGGTAATGGCTCCGGATACATAACATCTATACCAGCAGCTCTGATCTGTCCATTTCTTAGAGCTTCGAACAGCGCTTCTTGATCGACTATCCCACCACTGTAAAATAAATAAAACTGATAAATAGATGATTTTAAGACATTCCTCATCTAAAGTAAAGTAACGAAATTATATTGCTGAAAGAGATTCAAAACTTGGCGAGCGATTTCTCCTTACTAAAATAACTACAACTGTAAAAGAATTATTTCTGAAATATTTTCTCGTCACAGTTACGAAGCAATTTAGTCATATAATTGAAGAAATTGAATATTTTAGCGGGAGAGTTTTCATACCAAATAGACAGGGTTAGTCCTACGTCATCAAC